GGACCATGCTGCTAACGGGACTATGCTGCTAACAGAACCTCCTTGCTAATAGGACCATGCTGCTAACAGAACCACTCTGCTAACAGGACCATGCTGCTAACAGAACCACTCTGCTAATAGGACCATGCTGCTAAAAGAACCTCTCTGCTAACAGGACCATGCTGCTAAAAGAACCTCTCTGCTAATAGGACCATGCTGCTAACAGAACCTCCCTGCTAATAGAACCATGCTGCTAACAGAACCTCCCTGCTAATAGAACCATGCTGCTGTAGATGTTGTATTTCTTTTTCCACATTTGGTTCTTTTGTTTTGTACTTTTGTTGCATGCTTTGGTATTTGCTGTTGTTTGTTTGTTTGTTTTTTGGCAAGATGTTTCTTCTCGTCCTCAGCATTTCATTGCAATGCTGACCTTGTGTTGACCTTCATATGACAATAAACAATAAACCTAAACCTAAGCATGGCATTGTGCATAACATAATTCTGAAGGTTTGAGCAAACAGCTACAACTCTGTGGTTTCTTCTCAGGAAATGATCTGGCATGAAAGGTCGTCCTTCAAGGAATGCCAGGCCTTAAATAATGGTTTTCTTAAATTCTGTCTCCTGTCACCAACATCTGGTCTGTTATCGTGGACGGTGGAAGGCCATCCAACTGCTGTAATTAAAATCCTGACGTATCTGTAAGTTTCACACACGTTTGTGTAAAGTCAGTGTCGTGCATACGGAAGCTCAAGAGCAAAGCTCTGCAGCTCTTGGTCAAAAAGTCTTAAAGGAACCAGAAAAGCCTTCAGACCTTCTCAAAGTGAGACGTTTGAGCAGTTTTACTTGAGTTGGGAGTCGGCAGCAGCCACGACCAGCTTCATGCAGATTTATTCATCATCATTATTTTGTTTAACAAAGGCAATAATTTAACTACTGATTGGTAATAATTATCCTTTCACCTCAAAGCTTTTAAAACTGAAAACTCTAAACAACATACATTTTTATTTAACAAAAAACTCTTAAATTATAGTTGGGTGAAGATTAATGACCATTATTCAGTCGTGATGAAGATTTTGTGAAGTTTGCATCATTTTTAAGCATTTTCAGAGCAGTTGCTAAAAATCTGACAGTTGTATTAGTCAAATAATAAAATCCTTGCTGGGATGATTACAGTCATTTACTGAAAATCACATTTTAGCTGCTGCACTGATTTCATTTTAATGAGAAATAACCAAGTGACCTTTCGGGGATGATTTAGCATTTTCCTCCTGCGTGTGCTTAAGAATTTTTTTTTTTTTTACCGTATTTTCCAGCATATAAGTCGCTTTGGCGTATAAGTTGCATTTATTTTCATTCATTCATTCAACCTTTATTTATACAGGTTAATCCCATTGAGCCTCGGACTCATTTACAAGAGAGACCTGATTTCTTGAACAATGAATGACAAGAGTGAATAACAACGACAACAATAGACAATCATAAAAGAAGCGTACAGATTTATTTATTTATTTTACAAATTAAAATAAAATGGCAACCAAAAGGACAGTCAAAAGGAAAAAGTAGCAAAAAAAAAAAAAACAGCTAGACTGTAAAGCGGTGTAGAAAACTAAAAACTGGAACATGTCTGTGTTGGTTCTTGTCAGGAACTTATCAGATGTTTGAAGTCACTTAGAGAGGTCAAGGTCGAGAGCTTCAGATCTTTTTGCAAGATATTCCAGGAAACAGGAGCGGAGTAGGAGAAGGTCCTTTTGTCTAGTTCAGTCCTCACTGAGGGGACACTGCA